TCTTAGCCAAGAAGAAAAGCATTTCTCACAGTGCCTGTGCTGTGCAATTTTTTTTATGGTACCTTTTTATAGATGTTGAGTGTTTCTTGCTGGCTGTGATGGCGTATGACCGTTATGTGGCCATCTCCAACCCACTGCTCTATACGGTCACTATGTCCACACGGCTTTGTAACCTGCTAGTGGCTGGGGTGTATGGGGTGGCATTGGCGGATGCAACGACAGGCACGTATTACACATTCCGGCTGTCATTCTGCCGCTTGAACGTCATCAATCATTTCTACTGTGACCAGCCCCCACTGCTGGCACTGTCCTGCTCTGACACCCGCATCACTGAGATTTTGATGTTTGCCTCCGCGAGCTACACTGTATCTATCAGCGTTGTGATCATTCTACTCTCCTATGTCTGTATCATCTCCACCATCCTGCGGTTCCGCTCTGGCGAGGGCTTGCGCAAAGCCTTCTCCACCTGCACTTCCCACTTGACTGCAGTGGGCATATTTTATAGCACCGCCCTCTTTACGTATTTCCGTCCCTCCTCCAGCTACTCCATGGACACTGACAAAATATTCTCAGTATTCTACACGCTGGTGATCCCTATGTTGAATCCCTTTATCTATAGCCTGAGGAACACAGAGGTGAAGGGTGCCCTGAGGAAAGCGATGTATAAATTTATGACCCATTCTTGAATCTTTTTAACTCAGTCCAAACTTTTCATACACGTGGGTTGGTTCTATGATGTAGTGTGATGTGTGTGATTTTTATAGCTGAACCAAAGGGTGTTTTCACAACCTCCTGAAGCTCTGTGTTGTGGTTGTAGAGATTGTCACTTGGTTTGTGTCCATATGCAAGGAGGAGTGGCAGACCAAAATATGTAAGAGCAAGAGTAACGTTCCCAAGAGGGACCACAGTGTGGGTGACTGTGACAGTCTGCACTGAACTGAATAGACAATAGCTCGGAAACAGTGAGTTTTCTCCAAAAATCAGTTAAAAAGAAAGTTCAGTCATTCAGACACTAGATAAATATGCCACGATAGCAGCTTCACTACAAGTTCTTGCTCTCTCCTACATTCGTAGAATCATTGAACTAGAAGAGGTCATCTAATCCTGCTCCGTGCATTCACGGTAAAAAGAAGCACTAACTTGACCTTTCCCAGCATGTGTTCATCTCACCTGCTCTTACAGATCTCCAGTAATGGAGATCCTACAACATCCCTATGCCATTTATTCGAGTGGTTAGCTACTGTGACGTTGGTGAAGGTTTTCCTAATGGCCAACCTAAACATCCCTAGCTACAATTTAAGCCCTTTATTTCAACGTCTACTTCTCCCAGCTGAGCGTCACCTGCAACTTTTATCACGGCACTCTCTATGCCGGTTTCAATAGCACTGATGCCGATATGAAACAGAACTGGGCTCAGAAATGATCCCTCACTGTGAGACATTTCTGTACAGTGCCCTTTATTCTGTCTTGGATCTTTCTCAACGACCATCAATGCTACTGTTATAAGTCTATCTAAGGGTATGGTTAGACTAAAAGTGTTTGACTTAAAACAAATTCCCCCCACGCTGTGCGAATGGGAGAGTTGCATAACAGAAGCTGTGCAAATTCAATCACCTGAGAGCATCAGTGTAGACCAGCCCTCATGACAATCCATGATGGAACAGTCTTTGTGGGATGGGAAGTTCAGACTTTGATGGGCTAGACAGAAGGAGACAGAAGCAGGAAGTGAAAGTTGATCACCCACGTCAGAGGTGAGCATCCTTATAATGGGGGAAAAACATTAAATAGAGTAGATACTCCCCACCATTGACTAAGTTTAGCTGCTTTAAATCCTCACCTATACTCTGCATATGTATGCCATGCTTTCGGGACAAAGCTATCATAGAATGTGTAACATGTGTATGAATCATTTCAGGTCAACCAAAGCTGCATCGCTTTTAATTATACATTAGTATTCCAGAAGAAATTCACCCATTTCCAGAATCATTTGCCTTGGGGTCATTGTTCCTCATGTTCATAATCTAAAGAATTGATTTCAAGGCCCTTTTTATATCTTAGAACAAAAAGGCTAAGGGAGGAGACACTCAGAACTCCTAGAGTGGGTGATTTTAGCTACTAGGGTGTGTCTAGACTACATGCCTCCTTCGACGGAGGCATGTAGATTAGCCAGATCGGAAGGGGGAAATGAAGCCGCGATTAAAATAATCGCGGCTTCATTTAAATTTAAATGGCTGCCCCGATCTGCCGATCAGCTGTTTGTCGGCAGATCGGGATTTCAGGTCAACCAAAGCTGCATCACTTTTAATTATACATTAGTATTCCAGAAGAAATTCACCCATTTCCAGAATCACTTGCCTCGGAGTCATTGTACCTCATGTTCACAATCTAAAGAATTGATTTCAAGGCCCTTTCTATATCTTAGAACGAAAGGGTTAAGGGAGGAGACACTCAGAACTCCTAGACTGGGTGATCTTAGCTACTATAGACAACATTACTGAATTGATAAGGTGTTCCCATATTTGTTGATTCTTACAGAAAAGTAGATGCTTCACTCCCGAAGTTCCATGTAATTCCATGCACTGTAAATTCAACATTTTTAAATGACCATACGTTTTTGCTACTACTGTTTTATTTTCCACATTCAGAATGAAAAATTAATATATTTCCTTCAGAGTGAAGGAATTGTATGAGACAGCAAAAACAAAAACAAAACAAAAAAACCCACTTCTGGTATGTGTAGTAAGATGAGGGCCTAAAACATAAGACTATCTAGCACAGGCCTGGTTTGAGGTCTGAGGACTAGTTAACAATGGGAAAAAACATGGCTAACATGGAACAGAGCTAAGCTGTGAACCAGAGCCTGGCCCCAGCTCACAGAACTTGGCATGAACAGGGCTGAGAGCACGTAACACTAATTGGTGCTAGGTACCTACTGCAGAACAATAATTGGTGCTGGTCATAAGTAGAAAGCACATGGAATCACTAGCTCATTTAAAAAGACCTTGGTACCCACTTCCCACAGATACAGACTCAGGTTCCAGAAAGGGTCTAAAATGACTGATGAATAGAGATGATCTAATCATACCACAAGGTACAGGGTGATGGGTGGTATCTAAGTAGCATCAGAGGGTGGTAACCTGACAACTTCAGAGGGTAGCAACCTGATACATCAGCAATAAGGTGTGACTTGTTTTACCTGTAGATAACGTGGTCTCTTCGGGGGGGGAGGGGACAGCCTTTGTATGACATAGCGGCACTGGGACCTCTCACCGATTGAGTCATTCCATCGTGGTAAATATTGCCTGTAGTGGTTCTGTACAGTCTACTGACAGCTATGACTGTAATTTGCTCTACAATAAACCTGGCTTGTCGCCTTTGAATCTTATCTGGTTTGTCGTCCTTGGGGGCTCTCTTGGGGTCTGCTGTGGAGACTAAGTGCACAAGACCACACCGGCTACATCACTTGGAACACACACAAGTAGCCTTCTGTTTATAATAGTAAATGAAGCCAAAGACCTGTGAGGATTCCTCAGGAATAAACCTTAACCAGCCGTCCCTGAAGAACTACAGTACGTACAAACTGAAATTGTCTCTTCTCGTTCCAACTATTTCAAAGCAGTATATATCAAAGTATTCACTAATTCAGTGCCCGTATGGAAAAATAGAAAAAAATTGATCTTAAATTCTTTCTGCCCATGAGTGGAGAAGGCTGGTACTCCAAAGGTCCCCTTCCTCCTTTTCTCCCTGCTCGTGGCATCAACACTATCTAAAGAAGGGGTTGGCAATATTTTCAAAGCAAAAGCCAAAATACATCAAAATTCAGAGCAAGAGATCAACAAAGAGTCGTATAAGAATGCCCATTTGCATGACTGAAAATGTACAACTTAATATTATTGATAGTTAACATAATAATTAATTAGAGCATAACTGCAACATTGTACTCACTGACTTTATTTAATGGGATTTCTGCTGCTGTATCTTTTTGCACGTTTCTTTGAAGTTTACATCATAACTGGTCAAATCCAACCCCATGTGTGCATTCAGGCTGTCTTCTGTCAATCTTATGGCAGGGGCTTCAGGAGTCTGGGTTGGGGCAGGAGATTGGGTGTATGATGGACTCATGGCACAAAGTTGTTATGTGTGAAGGTGCAGAAGTTTTATGGCAGGAAACTGGGGATGAGGGAGGTCAGGGGCCCTGGACAAGGGGTTCAGGTGTATGATGGACTCAGGGTTGGTGTGTGCAGTGGGGCAGGAGTGTTATGATGCTACAGTCATATGGAGGTGAGCGTAAATTGATGGCTTGTTGGCCAGGCTTTATTTAAATAAAATGTCCAACACAAAAGGTTTCAACATTGTCTTGATTTATGGTAGGAACGGGGAACCTTTTTTGGTTCGGGGGCCTCTGACCCTAGAATAGTCAGTCGGGGACCACACAAGTGAGAATCAAAAACAACCCCTCCAAAAAAAAACCCCACTCCTCAATGATGTGCCCAGCAACTGTAACACCTCACTCCCCTGGAGCTCCAGACCCATAGCGGGGGGTGGGGCAGGGAGGACTGAGGTTCAAAGTCTCCATCCAGATTTACTCTTCTGAGGTTCTGGGGTTAGTGGATATTGTGGGCCCGCCCTAAGCTCTGGGATGGGGCCAAAAATGAGAAGTTCAGTGTGTGGCGCAGGGCTGCCAGTGAATGGGATGGGTTTGGAGTGCGGGATCTAGGTGGGAGAAGGTGGGGTGCAGGAGGGAGTGAAGGTGCAGGGTGTGGCCAGGGTGCAGGCTGCCTGTCCCGGGGGTGCCTGGTTGGGAGGGGGAATTGTGGCCAGGGAGCAGATGGGGGATTGTGTGTCTGGCCAGTGGGGTAGAGGTAGGGAGGATTTGGAAGGGAGCTTGGGACAGAGGGGATTTTGGCCACGGAGTTGGAGGCGTCTTGGCAGGGGGCAGGGGATTTTGCCCAGGATGCCGGGGGCAGGAGGTGTCTGGTCAGCAGGCTGGGGTTAGGGTGGGATTTTGGCCAGGGGTCTCTGGCCAGGGCAGTGGGGACATGGGTGTCACGTTACTGGATTTTAAGGGGAGCAGTCAGATCACTGAAAGGTTTATTACTAACAAGAAAAAAAGGAGCGAGAGTGAGGTTGATAAAGTATCATATGTTACATGCATCGAACCTCCCAGTTCTTGATGCAAGTTCGCAGCAGAGATGTTATAGCTGCTGGCTTAAAAGTCCTTGGTGCACATCCTATGTCAGGATGGGTCCACAGTTCTTTCTGGCTCATAGGGTATGTCTACACTACCCCGCTAGTTCGAACTAGCGGGGTAGTGTAGACATACCCTATGAGCCAGAAAGAACTGTGGACCCATCCTGACATAGGATGTGCACCAAGGACTTTTAAGCCAGCAGCTATAACATCTCTGCTGCGAACTTGCATCAAGAACTGGGAGGTTCGATGCATGTAACATATGATACTTTATCAACCTCACTCTCGCTCCTTTTTTTCTTGTTAGTAATAAACCTTTAGATTTTAGATTCCAAAGGATTGGCTCAGCGTGATCTTGTGGGTAAGTTTCAGAAGGTAAATTGACCTGGGACCTGTGGCTGGTTTCTTGGAACCGGACAGAACTTGTTCGGGGTAAGTGAGATTGGGTTCTAAAACCCCTCACCTATGTATAAGGCCCGGGGCCATCTGGAGCACGGATACTGCTGGGTTATCAGATGGGTTTTGCTCGTGAGGCTTCTGAGTGTCCAGTCAGGCAGCAGAAGAGCTCTGTGAGGCTGGTTTGTGGCCTATTTGGGAAGCGCTGCCAGTCAGGGGGCTGAAAGGAGCCCTGACTTTGAGCAATTCTCCCAGAGCGGATGCCCTCAGCCGTGCCCAGACCTGGCCCGGTCCATCACAATGGGGAATTTTGACCTGGGAGTGTTGGGCCAAGTGGATGGGGGCAGACTATCTGGCCATAGGGTGAGTGAGGGGGGGACGGGGTCTGGACATGAGTGGGTGGGGGCCACTTATTGGTTTTTGCACCACATGGCAGGCACCGTGTAACACGCCTCCCGTTGCTCACATCCCCCAGAAGCCTCCTGTAAAGTGTTTCCTGGAGGACATAAAAGGGCAGTGCAAATGAAGCCATTTTGGGCTCCTGTCCTGCAAGCGGAGGGAAGGAAACCGCTCTCACAATGGGACATTTTTTTCCCTGCTTGTTCCCCACGTGATCAGTCTGGTGGGGAGCCTTGAGGCTGCCTGCTTCTATTGCTCCCCACAAATTCCCCCCGCCTTCAGCTCCTCCAGGAAGCCAGTGCTCACGCTCCAGTGTGGGTAGGGTGGGCCAGGAAGGCGTCAGCAACAGTGCCGGCTCCCTGCTCTGGGGGGAGCAAGGGAACGGCTGAGCTGGGCCTCCCCAGAGAGCCATAGGATGCCGACCCCCGATCTGAAGGCAATGGAGAGACACATTATTCTTGGGGAGGATTCTGACTGAAAGGAACCAGCCTGCAAGGCTGGAAAAGCGGGTGATGAGACAAATCTTTGTTTTGAATTCGTTTAGGCTCTTCAGTGAGGTGTTACTGACATTTTACCTCTCTATTCTTTGTAACCAATTCTGATCTTTACGTCTCCTTATTGGTAATCACTGAAAATCTTTCTCTCTGCCATCAATAAACGGGATGGATTGTTTCACTGTGTTTTGCTACTTCAGCAGAAGATTTGCACCTGTCATTTTCTGTCTATAACATGACCGACTTAACATGAGCAGGTGCTGTCCAGGAGGGTGGTGGACAATACGAGGATTTTGACGTAGTGGGGATTCTGTCTACTCTTGTAGCCATGCTTTTCACTCTGGTTTTGAAATTCACAGGTTGCTTTCTTGTGCTGTGTGTGAGGCCTACTGTCCTGTGTTGCTCTGCAGTGACGCTGTGTGTGTGTGCCTCAGTTTCCCTGGGCACTGAAGCACTATCTGCATGAGAAGGGTACGGTTGAGTGTAACTCACCGTGCAGCATCACTAGGCCTTGTGACCTGGAGGTTAGTGGTCTGTGTGGTTGTATTGAAAGGCAGCACGTGATACCCCTGTACCTGAACCTGCCAGAGGTACAGCCCAGACCCTTAGCTGGGAATTATTTTCATAGCCCAGATTTCCTCCCGCAAGCTGCTAGCAGACATGTTAGCAGAGAAGAAAACCATTTCTACCTCTGTCTGCGCGACTCCGCTCTGGTTTCTCTGTACGTTACTGGTGGTGCAGTGACTGCTGTGTCTCTTCCCTTTAAGAGTCAGTGAAGAAAGAGGGAGAAGGGGTCTCCAGATATCCGGTCCTTCCTTTTATACTCCTGTCCCCCCTTTCAGACACTTTGCCAGCTGGTTAGCAGGAAACAGAATGTCTATGGGTACATCTACACTACAGCGCTAATTTGAACTAACTTAGGTCGAATTAGTTAATTCGAACTAAGCTAATTCGAACTAATGCATCCAGACTAAAAAACTAGTTCGAATTAGCGTTTTGCTAATTCGAACTAGCATGTCCACACAGAGTGGACCCTGAACAGAGGTTAAGGATGGCCGGAAGCAGTGCCGGCAGGGCATCAGATGAGGACTTAGAGCGTGGAGCTGCTGGCTCAGGCTAGCCGAGGGCTGTGCTTAAAGGGACCCGACCCCCACCCCAGACAGACAGTTCTCAGGGGTGCCCTGCTTGAAAAGCAATCCTGGCTTGGAGTGCTCTGAGTGCCCACACTGGGCACATAACAGCACTCAGCCATCAGACCGGCTGCACTTGCCGCAGGTTGCCATCTGGGGAGAGAGGGCAAATGGGGGGCGGC